AGAAGTAAAAAAACAAACCAAACCAAACAAACAAACAAAAAAAGAATAAGCAAAACCAATCTCATAAGAATTTGATATGATCAACATTCAAGCAAACAACAAAAGGACAGAGAGAAAAACAATTGTTGAACAGTTATGACAGCAAAGAGAGAGTTGTGTATGGACTTGGAGCAGGGGATTGGAAATTAGGTATATAAGTAGGGTGAAATTTTAGCAGGGAATAAACAGAAAGAATAGGGAAAATCTGAAGCAGGAAAGTGTTAAGATAAATAGGACACCAAAAGGGAAAAAGTTAGGAAGAGAGTGATGGCATAAAGGTAGAGTTAAGATAGGGTAAAATGATGCTAAAGGAAAGATGAAAATAGGGTATAAAATACTGATCCCAAAGTAAAATAGAGAAAATAAAATGACACTTTAAAAAAAAAAGGAAAAAAAGGTAAAATAGTACTAGTAGTAATAATAATGATTGAAAATAATTAATAAGGAAAAATCAAGTGAGGAAAAAAGAAAAATTAGTTTCTTAAGTAAAAGATGCAAATAAGGAAAAAAAAAAAGTGCAGTAGTGAAGGTCATTCACTTCCTCTATCGTTCTGTTTGGCACGCCTGTTTCCCAGTCTGGATAGTTTTGCAATTCCCTGTGTTCCACTGCTCCTCAGTGTTGTAGCCAGTCCTGATTTTTAAGCAGGTGGTGTTTTACTTTCTCGTATTACTTTATTTTTGATTGCACAGAGTCAATTTGATTCAGCCCCTGGTGGCAGTTTTTCTGGATTGACTTCCGGGTCTCTCCAGCCTTCTTTTCTGGGGCACTCAATACCGGTTTGGAGGTGGGCTGCCTCAGAGCTGGCTCTCCTATGGTCACTCCCAGCTCTGATCCCCAGGTTCCAGAAAAACAATTTCCCCCTGCAGTCTCTCAGGGTATCCCCAACTGGGTTATCCTATGTATTGGGCTTAGTAATCAGAATTGGAAAAAGCCCAAGTGTGCGGACAGTGGGTCTGCGTGCCAAGACCAAGCAGCCTGCACTCCTGTGAAATTCTTAGTCTGACCCTCCGAGTCAGATTAAAATGGGGTGCTTTTTAGAGATCCCCTCTGGGTACACAGTAGGTACTTTCCAAATGTACAGTCAGATGGATGCATATGGACACCAAGTTGCAACTTACACAGGGCAGGGACAGAGCGGAGCTATGAATGAACATAGAGGCATGTATCGATCTGTATCATACATTACATTGTAAATTCAATGAAGCCAGGTCTGATTTCAGTTGGTATTCCCCAAGATATACCTGATACATAGTAAGTGATCAGTACACTTCTTAGGAATTCATGCTTTCATTCATTCACTCATCAAATGTTTACTGAGTGCCTCTGTGTGTAGTCACCATAAAGAGGATGGGCAGGGGTGTGGTTCTCTCTAAGCGTTTCAGACAGAGAACACTCAGCTGAGCTTTCAGCTCTTCTCTGACTCACCCTGGAAGGCTTCCTGGAGGAGGCAGGCTTTCCCAAGCGTTAGGGGCAGAAATAGAATATTGGAGACTAGCTATTATAAGAAATACAAATCATATTCTGTTAACTGATTGTTTTGTTCTGATTAAAGAAAGCATTCTAACCTGGCTTGGAGTTGTACGCATCCTCTCCTCCTCACCTCCTCCCATACACCACCACCTGGAAGTCAACCTTGGAATGTGGTACGTTCTCATCTGTGATCATGGAAAGATGAACCACCTTATTGTCCACAAGCAATTGAGTCCCAGAGGGGTACCCCAGCCCAAATTGCATGTAATCTGTAACCATTATACCCATTTTTATTCCTTTTGCCTACTTCCCCATGTAATCTTTGTCCTGCTCAATATAAGCAACTGGCTTATGGTGGGGTGGAGAGCAGATTTTTATGGATGACCTGCTGCTCTCCCATCCTGCCCGCAGTATTGGAAGGAACACTCATATATGATTCAACCCTGTCTCTGCTTAATTGGCTCAAGTAGTGACAGGCAGCTGGGATTGCCGTTTCAGAATGTGTGAAAGGCTACTTCAGGCTTGGCCCATAAAAACTTCCTAAAGCAATGTAATTTAGCTCCTCCATTGTACACTGAGCAGGGACAGAGCTAGGCTTTTTAAAAAGAAATTTCTTTATTGACTAAGGTGTTATATATGTGTCCTTATTTCCCCATTATCCCCCAGTCCCCCTACTCATGTCCTCACCCCCGTTTGTGTCCCTTGGATAGGCTTATATGCATGCATACAAATCCTTTGGTTGGTCTCTTCCCCTTACCCCAACCCTCCCCTATCTTCCCTCTGAGGTTTGACCGTCTGATCGATTCTTCTGTCTGTGGATCTGTTTTTGTTCATCAGTTTATGTTCATTATATTCCATAAATGAGATCATGTGATATTTATCTTTCTCTGACTGGCTTATTTCACTTAGCATAATGGTCTCCAGCTTCATCCATGCTGTTGCAAATGGTAAGAACTTTTTTTTTTTAAACCACAGCAGAGTATTCCACTGTGTAGATGTACCATTGTTTTTGTTTTTAGAGAGAGTAGAGGGAGGGAGGAACATCAATGTGGGTCACACACATTGGTTGCCTACCGCATGCGCCCCTGGGGCTGAGAATCAAACCTGTAACTCAGGCATGTGCCCCTGACAGGGCACTGAACCTAAGACCCTCCTGTGTGCAGGCAGATGCCTTAACCACTGGCCGGGGCAAGCTAGGTTTTATGGGACGTAAAGCATATGCAATTTGGAGGGCCCACTAAGAAAAATACACAATTAGGCACTACAGATGTGAATATTTATTTAGAATAGAAATTGCAAATTTTATAACTTGACAATTTCCAGAAAAACATTCTAGTTTTATTAACTGTTTGACATTATCTCTATATTGCTTTATTTATTTATTTGGGGAGAAAGGAGTGTAAATGTCTTTGTAATGATTTTGTATTTTTTTTATACATAGAGAACTGAAAGATTCAGTTTTTCCTCTTTCATGGTTGATCAAAATTATTTTTAAATGAAAGGATGCAAAATAAATGTCCTCACCCACAGGTACATGAGCTGGAGCATGGCTATAAGTCTGTGCCCTACATAAAGCAGAATTCAGATTAATTCTATTCTGTAGGATTCCCATAAACAACAAGCACAGTGCCTTTGTAACTCTATACGCTCCATTATCAAGTTGTGGACCGAATCTTTATTTTGATAGATAGATGAAAACTAATCTCTTACAGCTTCACATATCTCATTATTGGACATTTTCCATAACCTACTCTCTGGCTCCGTATTGCAGGAAGACGCCCTGTACCTGCTGGTGCTACGAAAGCTCAAGACCATGTGACACAGTGCTAAGGACCTCGCTGGCCTTGGCAGGGCCCTGATGCTTCATCGGCTTCCTGGAACCCCAGCCCCTGCTGAGGAGGAAATGGAGAGGAAAAGTTCAGGAGGGACAATCAGCATGGGGCTCACAGCTCCTGGTCACACACAGACCCGCAGGTTTTTCTACTAGAACATACTTTACAAGCCTCTTTTCAGGTTTTCTTCATTAAAACCCTCTCTGCTATCAGGGTGGGTACTAGATTGATCAGGGTGATCACTTCATAAGTTCTATAAATGTCAAATCACTATCTTGTACAGCTGAAACTAACATATTGCATGTCAACGATAATGAAAAACTTATAAAAACTACTTCGTGCTTGTCTGAAATTGTTTACAATTCAGCCAATTTAACTTCTATCTTGGAAAGCATTATAGTTCTCCAAAGTGAGGTTTTTAAAGTAATTTGACCCATTATAACACCATTTAATTTGACCCATTATAACACCATTCACTTGGGTAACTGCATGCTAGGAGAGAAGGGTGCTGTCCAGACCTCCGTCTGTGCTGTCAGTCTCGCCTCCAGAAAGCACGTGCCCTATTTCAATTAGCCTACAAATTAAAAAATAGTTTTGAAATAATGTCTCATGCCTACATTTTATTTTATTCTTCTTCATGCTCATCCCATAATTATGAATATTAGTTTTCCTGGAGGGGAAAAAGTCTATTCATAAACTAAACTATCTATTTCTTCAGTAAAAAAACATTAAAAACCCCACCTGAGTCCTCTGATAGCACATGCCAGAAAGTCACCATTTCAACTATAATATAAGGAAGTAACAACACATCAGTACTATGAGCCCAGACAATATTGGGGGGGATAATTATGTTAAACCTCTCTGTAATTAAAGATAATTTAAGTACAAAATTATAATATTGTTTTGAGTTACTATTACCGGGGGGGAGGGGACCCTTCAAGGAATTGCACTCAGTGACACTAAGATTTTATCCATATTGCTATACTGTAAACTCAGCAAATGGCATTTAAGATTTTTTTAAGGTATTTTGCCTGAATAACAACATAATACCTCAACTTCCAATTAAAAATATAAACCTAGCCCTCTCTCACTTCTAACAAGGCCTTCTTTTAAAGGCAACTATCAAATACATGGTTAGACTGGATATGCCTTCACCCACAAACCCAAAGGGCCCAGAAGCCCAGCGATGTGTGAAACCCAAGAGGCAGCAGAAAGGCTGACCCGGGGAACTGCTTTCTCCTCCTCATTTCATCAAACACTGCTCACCTTTGAGGTGAAAACTTTGGCGGCAATGCGTAACCAGGACAGAGCAACAGGAGTTAAAGAACACTACCTCATGCTCCACACAACACTGAGATTATGAAAACAGATGCTACTTGTTGAAAGAAGGGGACATTACTAAAAATAGTCTTCCTGGGTTTTATGCTTCTAAGTAAGAAGCACATGGGTAAGCCTTTGTCTTTCCCATGCCATTGGCAAGTCTTCTGCTTTGTGTAGGACTGGGTATAAGTGTAGATGCAATTATTAGGCATATTCCCCAGAGCAGACTCAGTTTCTTTCCCCAGTACCTGAATACAGCGTAAGCATCCTACCATTGCCACCACCGGCTTGAGCTTCAGGCTCGCACGTGTTGGATGCGGACCTTTGCAAGCAAAATGTGACGTCCCAACCCTTTATTGCCTGTTACAGAGGATGCAAAGACTGTTCTCCGGAGTCTAGACGTGTGTCAAGACACCTTCCCCCAGCTCTGCAGTGTTTCTGTGGTTTCAGTTTAGGCTCTGCATCCTCATTGGCCACTTAAACCGAAAGGCTGAGTTTTGGAAATCAAGAAGTTGAGTCTGGCTTCAGACCCTCTGCAGACAAAAATTAAAATTGATTAGAATAAATTCACGACATGCTATATTATATATACTTACACTTTTCTTGATACTTAGTGTATCTTTGGATAACATAATGTTAAGATGAGAGCACATTAAACCTTGAAAACAAAGTTAAATTAACAGTGGAGCTTTACTTCAAACGCAATAAACAGTCATTAAACTTTAATACTATTAATCATCAAGGTTTACCATCAGATTAAACAAACATTTTATATACAGTGGCTTTCAGCAACCCCCTTTTCTGTGACCTAAAAAAGTGGGAGAAAAATAAAGTACACCTATGAAAATCTACATTTCAATTAAGAGGTTGCCCTGTTGGGGAAAACCCACAAATAAGGACTTGGAAAGAATGAACAAAAAGAATAGCAAAGGAAATAACAGGTAATAAATTTCTTGTATTTGCAAATCATAGATAGTTACTTTGAATGTTAGAATGTTTCAGCCACTTCTAACCTCAAATTATTTCAAGTATTTAATATCAATATTGCATTAATTTTGAGAGAAGTAAAGCTTATCAGTAAATTTCTAATTCCATAGCAATTAAATCAAATGCCAACTACCAGGTGAAATTCTAAAGTTTCTACCTAATGAACCTTATGTGTCCTTCAAGGTTCAAGTCAAATACTATGATCTCCTTTGGGGAGGCATGCATGACCTGCTAATCTGAAACAGATTAATCATTGCTCTGGATACCCATCCAATTTGTATGGGCAGTATTTCTTTTTCTAGAAGTCTCTGCCTTCTTAAAGCCCATAAAAAAATGGACAACTACAAAAAGAAGAGTAATCACAAATACAGATATAAAATATTCAAGTTTAGATATCATGTTTAGCAACTTAATTTCTAAGCACCTGATGATTTAGAAGAGCAGATTGTATCCTAACTATTCCAACACAAGACAGAAGATGAAAACCAACTCGGTCATTTTGATATTTAAGAATCTTTGGATATTTTTCTTTTTAACAGATTCCTTTTCTAAGAACTTGAAATTCTGTATTTTAATTATACTAAAGTACTCTAACAAGCTTTATAAAATATGTTAGTGTGTACTTTTTAAAAGATTACAATAATCTAACTGGCCTTTTTTGATGTTTTGAAGCATGTGGGTTGCTCTACTAATCTTGATCAACATATTTAAAAGATGACAAAAATCTAATTTTTGAATTATATTTACAATGTAAGTCACCAACAAACAAAATTATTTTTTTCTTTAACATATTGCACACTGTAACTGCTGTGCTCTTGAGAAACCAGAAAAAATGTAAAAAAAAAAAAGTATCATAAAATAAACTTAACAGGAAGTTCATGAGACCTTGGGAAGGTGATATGTGGTTGTTTCCTCCTTTTTTCCTTCTTGTTCTTTTTCTTGATGTTTCATCTTTTGTCCTAGAAAACAAAAACAAAAATCTATTAATGATTGCTTCAATAAGTCAGAGATACAAAGACTTCCTTTCATGTTTTTATTGACTTGAGAGAGGAAAGGAAAGGGAGAAACATCAAGGATGAGAATCACTGATCGGCTGCCTCCTGCACACCCTCTACTGGGGATTGAGCCTGCAACCCGGGGATGTGCCTTTGACCAGAATTGAACCTGGGACCCTTCAGTCTGCCGGCTGACACTCTATCCACTGAGCCAAATTGGCTAGTGCATAGACTTTATTTTTTCAGTAGTGATTATAGTCACATGGTTTGAAATTTAAAAGATAAAAAGTCCCCCTTTCACCCTGGTCATCCAGCTACCTAATTCTTCCCAAAGTCTACAACAAAGACTTCAGATTTCTTATGTATCTTTCAAAAACATTTGTAGGTATTTGGAGAGTTTATTGTCCCAGAACCATCTGTTAAGAGGACTATCATTCTCTGCTGAATTGCCTTGGCACTTTTGTCAACTGCCATAAATGTAAGGGTTTATTCCTGAACTCATGTCTGTGTGCCCTTTCCTCTTATAACAATGCCAGTGATGGAATTTAGAACACTCCAGTTCCCCTTTCCAGCATGACCTTATATTAACTAATCACAGCTGCAAAGACTATTTCCAAATAAGGTCACATTCTGAAGTTCTGGGTGAACATGAATTTGGGAGAGGATACCATTCAACTCACAACAGCATGAATACATTTATACTTGTTATATCTTCCCCTTTTATCATAATAAAATTTCCTCATTGTCTCTATTTTTCAAAATCTAATTTTCCTACTTTGTTAATTTCATAAAATTAAAAGGCAATCTATTTCTTTTCATATTCCAGAAGAGAATAGCCTAAGAGTAGTATGCAAATTGACCATCACTCCAACACACAAGATGGCCAGCAGGAGAGGGCAGTTGGAAGGGACCAGGCATGCAAGGGAGGGCAGTTGGGGGCAATAAAGCCTGCAGGGGAGGGCAGTTAGGGCCAACCAGGCCAGCAGAAGAGGAAAGTTGGGGGTGACCAGGCCTGCAGGGAAGGGCAGTTGGGCAGTACCAGGCCTGCAGGGGACGGCAGTTAATGGTGACCAGGCCTCCAGGGGAGGGCAGTTAGGGGAAAACAGGCTGGCGGGGGAGCAGTTAGGCATCAATCAGGCTGGCAGGAGAGTGGTTAGGGGGTGATCAGGCTAGCAGGCAGAAGCAGTTAGGAGCAAGCGGGAAGACAGGCAGGCAGGCAGGCAAGCACTTGGGAGCCTGTAGCCCTAGATTGTGAGAGGGATGTCCGACTGCCTGTTTAGAGCTGGAATTGGGCCTAAACGGGCAGTCAGACATCCCTTGAGGGGCCCCAGATTGGAGAGGGTGCAGGCTGGGCTGAGGGACACCCCATCCCCCCAAGCACGAATTTCATGCACTGGGCCTCTAGTTATATATAATATCCAACTTCCCTATTCCCTGAAAAAAAATCTTAAAAGAACTAGGTTTCCACTGCCTATCAATTTATTTTCAGGTAACATTTGCAATGTTTTCCATAAAGAGTAGTCTATGTTTTTTAAAAAAACTTTTTGAGTCAATCTCGGCAGTTTGGAGCCTATACCATTGTAAGGTATGGTTTCTCAACAAGTGTTCTATGTAGATTCTAGAGCACATGTGTCAAACACAAGGCCTGCGGGCCAAATCCGTCCCGCCAGGCCTTGCAATGTGGCCCGCACCGCGCTGTCATCACTGCACTCCGCTGCGTTTCCATCACAATGACAGTTTATGACTGTTCAGTAAACCATTCAGCCCGCGATTTAGGCTGGATTTTAGATTTTGGTCCCTTCTCTGATTGAGTTCGACACCCCTATTCTAGAGGAATCAATTCTTTATTGTTCATAACCATTTCTCACACGATAGAACATTTAACATTCTGGGCCCCTATCCACTAACTCTTTCCAATATTAAAAAAAAAAAAAGTGTATATATTTGTATTGATTTTAGAGAGGAAGGGAGAGGGAGAGAAATTGAAACATCAATGATGAAGGAGAACCACCTATCAGCCACCTCCTGCATGCCCCACAGGGAATGGAACTGCCCCCTCCTGGTTCACGGTTGACACTCAACCACTGAGACATGCCAGTCTTCATGAAAACCCGATTCCTACCCTCTCTGCATTTCCAAGTGTCCCTTGGAAAAGGGGAGGGGGGTATCACTTGAGGACCAATGTCATAGTAGTTAAGGTGAACTACAGGGAAGTGAGGGCATGTGCTTAGCATCCTGTACCACGGAGCCCGACATCAGCAGGGGCTGGGGCCTCCTGTCTGTTCTGGACCCTATGCTACGACTCTGGGGAGACAGAAGATGAAGCAGAACAGAAAAGAAGCAAAAGGGAAAACAAGAAGGGAGATGTGGGGACTCCAGTGGTATTGGGGACAGAGCCCGCTCCCCAAGCTGGTTCTCCTGGAAGAGGCCAGAGGAAGAGGCCCCGAGCTTCTGCCCGGAGCTCAGAGTCCTGTGAACCCACTGGAGCCCGTGCAGGCCGGCCCCTCCTGCTGCAGTTCCCTCTCCTCTGGACTCGAGGCTATGCTGGGTGTGCAGCCTCCCAAAAGGAGTTATATGAACTACAAGGTTTTGCAGGAGCAGATCAAAGAGGGGAAAAAGGCAGCAAAGGAAGAAGAATGGCCCAGGACACAGGTATTTTTTTCAGAAAAGAGGAAAGGGCAGGAAGACAGGAAATCTGAAAAAAAGAGATCAGTCCCAGTATTCTGTCAAGTGGACAGACTGGACAGGTTGGAAAATTCCAAAAGGGACAATGATTCTGAACCCAGTGGATATTAAGAAAATAAATTATTTCTGAGTGGCTAAGTACTATATGAAATGAAGAGAGGAATGGGAAAGGGCCCCGTGCAAGACTTCCACGCTATTATTTATTTCAGATTTCAGGGGCTGATTTCTTAGAGAGAAAAATCAAATAGAAACAATAAAGCTTCTGGTTGCTGGGGGGGGGGGGGGGGGGGGGGGGGCAGGAGAGAAAGTAAACTACAGAGCCAGATTTCTTGGGTTTGAATACAGGTTCTGAGACATTGAAAAAGAGACAGACACCTAGTACAATTACTTGACTCCTCTGTATGTTTCCTTATCTGTAAAATCAGAATAGTAATAGTACTTATTTAATTACTGATTAAATAAGATTACCTGAGACATGTAAAGTTCTTAAAACATCTCTGGTACATAGTAAATATTGGTAAATATTAGCAAATATTATTCCCTAAATTTGTCATTTCAATAATTTTTCTAGCACAGGATAACAGTTTTGAAATACTTTTTTCTCTATTAGTTCATTTTTTCCTTATTCCTCTTCCTATACTCCTTTTAAGTAGCTAGGCAGCTGTGAGCTCATTGATTTAGGAAGAAATAAACCAGGGTAGTAAATGGAAGAAAAAAAAAGTCTTCCTGAACTTGATTCCTAAAAATGTAAGCCATTTGGGGTCCAGAGAAGCTTCCACATGTAGATAACACTTTAGGAACAAATACAACTGAAAAGAACAAGAATTAGTCTCACCTCCCAACAACCCGAGTCCAAGTTGCAATAAAAACAGAAATTTCTCCAGACTAAGGGGAAGAGATATTGTGGGGAAGTGCTAAGAGTATAGACATTGATAGATTCTAAAACGAAGGGCCTTGTGTCCTGACTCACAGAGCACTGGGGAAGCAGTAAAATCCCACAGAAATCGAAGGTGGGGGTGGGGGGAAGGAGGCTTGGGATCTAACAATGACTGGGAGAGGAGGTTATGCTGACCAGGCTTTAAACGGCCTTGCATTTAGTATCCTGAATGGCAGTGAGGAAGCTGAATTATGCCAGGTCCTTACATGTGACATGGAAGTAACAGAGAGAGCCACTATACCCGAAGGGACAGGCAGACAGGAGTAAAGACATGTCAGGGCCAGACAGAACGATAGACATCCCAGAATATACCTGTATGAGCAGACAATACTGAGAACTAGGTGAGTATCTTCTCCCCATCCATGCCTTGGAAACATACAGACTGCCCCCCGCCTCCTCACCCCTCTACCACTTCACTTCACCCCTGAAACTGAACTCAAAGTTGGGAAGTAAGTTTTTAATCTATCTGTAGTTTTCTGAGTTTTTTTTTTTTTTTTTTTTTTTTAAAGAAAAAGGACAGTACTGGGTTAGCTCCATGTTAGCTATGCTGTTAAACACTTCCTCCCTTATACCTCATTAAAATTCCATGTAGAGCTCACATGGTGTGTCTCAGTGGCTGGACACTGACCTATGGACCAGGAAGTCATGGTTTGATCCCCCGTCAGGGCATATGCCCGGGTTGTGAGCTCAATCCCCAGTGTGGAGTATGCAGGAGGCAGCGAATCAATTCTCTCCCTTTCCCTCTGAAATCAATAAAAATAAATTTTTTTTTAATTTCCTTGATTTTATTTTAATTAATAAGGTACAGAATCCTATAACCAAATTTTATATTAAATTATTCAGTTACCTACTTTTCTTTCTTTTCTCTTTTTATTCCTTTTTGGTCCTCTTTTAGTATTAACTTCTCTGTTGGTAGAATCTAAAAGAATTAGATTTTAAAAGAATTAGAAATAGTCTAATTTATAATAGGCAAGCAAGAACATCTCTAGGGAAAAGAAATAAACTTCATGATCAAAGGATGGAAAATCTTTTTGTTATAGTAACGTTACATTAACTTCCTGTCAACAATAAAAAACAAATGTTAGAACTAGAAACCCTAAGAAAAACCAAACTATACAAGAAAGTCAGTTCCAATACGAAGTAATACTAACACATGGCATGGTTTTAAGCAAGTGATGAACTATCAATGCACTTGATATCATGACTGGAAACATTCTCCTTTGAGTCCCAGAAACCAGGACATTAGGTCCACAAAAGGGAATATAACCCTAGCACACAACTTGACACCGCAATAACAATATTTATAGTGCGATAGTAATTTAAATGCTGATTAGTTTTGAACCTTTAAAGTGAGAACACGAACAAAAAAATGAATGAGTTACTTTTGGTTGTAGATCATACTATAAATATTAACTACTGAAAACAAAAAATATATATACAGTAGGGAGAAAAGATGGAGTAAAGAAAGGGTGTAAAATAATTGACTAAAGTTGATGGAACAGAAAGTAGAATTACAAGTATCTTATAATACTGATGCCTAATTAACTAATGAAAAAACTAATTACACTACGACTAGCACACACTGAGAGGAATAGGTGAGACAAAGGAGTAATTTAATGTGAACTAATCATGGATATTGCCTAAAGCTGAATGTGGAGAACATCTGCTATAATTTGATTGCCTGGTATCTGATTCTCCTTTCTGTGTTTGGTGAAGGTTCTTCTGTGTGCCTCCCACTGTCAGTGCTGAAAAGGCCAATACTAGCTTTTCCAGTTTCCTATGCAGCTGGGACATGGGCATGTGATCAGGCTCAGTCAATCACTGCCTAGGAGCTGGTGACACAAGAAGCAGAGATACTTAAGAATGAACTTTGTAGTGATGGCAGAAATACTCAGTGGCTGCAGTGGCAGGGATGCCAGTGGCGGCATTTGGTGACCATGGTCATGCAGGCGGAGGGATCCAGGTATAGGAATGGCAGTGGTCGCAGTGTCCCCTTGGCAGACTGAGCTCTGTGGCACGACTTTGCCTGTGGTTTTAGCTGCAAAGTTTCACTTTGTTCCTATCGATAGACAGAGATTAATTCTCTAGCTTCTTGGCAATTCTGTGGGCTACTCACTGTCCTCTCATGCCTTCTCCATTTAAACCAGCCAGAGCTGTTTCCTTTACTTACAACCAAGAACTCCTACAAGCCCACTGATAAATTGAGAAATAGAAGTGAAAGCACGTTACTTAAGAATCAGAAACCCAAATGTCAACAGTGGTTATTTAGCACATTCAATTCCTTTAGCTTATAATAAACCTTCCTGAATACTACTCCCCTGGCTTTTGTCTAGAAAATACCTTTTCCCCCCTCCAATTCTCAATTTAGAGAGAATTTCCTCTTAGAGTCTTTCCTGGTCTCCATAATTCATGTAAACCAAGTCACAGCTCTCACCTATATTGTAATGGACTATTGGTCTTTATTGTCCAACAAAATAAAAGTTTCTTGGCTGATGGGGTCATGGCCTGCTGACCATTATGCCTGGAGCACAGTGAAGTATTCTCAATAAACGTTTGTTGAATAAACAGAAGTTATAAAGGATTTTAATACTTTTTCTCTAAATAATTTAACTTATAAACAAAAAAACCTCAACAGGGTGATAAACACACCGTTAATACTTGAATCTGTCTCGCTTTCAGAAGACGAAGAAGAAGAGGGAAACACACGGTCATCTGAAGAGTAAGATGTTGATCTATGTTGGTGTTTCTGGCTTTGCTCTTTTTCCCCCGTTTGTTTGTATTTGCCTTAGATTGATATCAAACATGACACAATTAGTCTCTCAAATATTAGCAACAAATGAAAGAGAAACAAATAATTTATAGAACGTATGTGAAATTGCTGAAAAGTAATTAAAGTGAGAAAAGCTCCTACCTTCATTTCTGCTGGTCCTGGCATCTTCAGGACTTGTGCGTGGGGACTTCTTACTCATGTCTACAGAACCTGCCTGCCATGGCTGTAACACCAAAATATTGGCAAGTTATTAGAGAATGTAAAAGCAAAATAATGGCTTTTGGAACAAAGAAAATAGAAACCACATTTTAAATTCTTTCTGAATGGAAAGAGGGTCAGGTGTTAGTCATTCATAAAGTAGTTTTATATTTCTATTAAATGATAACCATTCATATCCCTAATTTGCATATCTGCCATCAAAACAAAAGTCAAGTATGTATTTCCATAACCTTGGCAAAAATCTCATACAGATTTTATCAAAATAAGGACCCTGTTTTATTTTTATTTTTTTATTTAAAAAAAATATATTTTATTGATTTTACACAGAGAGGAATTGAGAGGGACAGAGTCAGAAACGTCGATGAGAGAGAATCATCGATCAGCTGCCTCCTGCACACCCCCCACTGGGGATTTGCCTGCAACCAAGGTACATGCCCTTGACCGGAATCGAACCCGGGACCTTTCAGTCCGCAGGCCAACGCTCTATCCACTGAGCCAAACCAGTCCCGGCAGGACCCTGTTTTAGTTGAATTTTGCTTTGTAATCTACAAGAACAAGAATATAGTATTGATGTGGTGATACTATGGATTACATTAGTCAAACTGGTTTTCTTCATTAATGAAAGGAAACACCAACTGCTACAAACTGAACTTTTCCAGTTAATTCGTGCAAAAGTCATTTACTATTGAAGCTCAAACCCAATATGACTGAATTTAGAGAGAGTTTTCAAGAGGTGAAGTTAAATAAGGTCATAGCAGTGCACCCTTAATTGATAGGACTGATGGCTTTCTAAGAGAAAAGACACACACACCACACACACACACACACACACACACACACACACACAGGAGCAACACAAGTAGAAAAGGCCATGTGAGGATGCACCAAAAAGGAGGCCAGGAAGAGTTCTCTGTAAGCCAGGAAGAGTTCTCTCCAGAAACCAAACTCTGCTGGAACTTGATCTTGGACTTTCCAGCCTCCAGAGCTGTGAGAAAATAAATTCCTGCTGTTTGAAAGCCGTGCAGCCTGTGGAACTGTAGCATTGTGGCAGCACAAGCAGACTAACAAACCGAGGAAGGACAGCTGCGATTGTGGCTGCCCTTCAGAACCCGGTGTTCCCCCTGGCACCTGCAGCCCACCATTCCCATCTCCTTGGGCTTCATGTTTCCCTCCCACCCTTAACACAGCCATCTTATTATAGGATGAAGCTTTTGATGTTCCTCTCTATCACTATTCCATTGGTTCCTAAACTTTAATACACATAAAAAAGACAAAGAAGCTTTAAAAAGGCAATTCCTGTGCTCCACACCCAGAGACCTTCACTAGAACATCTGGAGGGAGACCTCGAGCAATTCAAGAAGCCGTGACACCACACTTTGAGAAGCAGTGCTCTCTTAGAAATCTCATCTAGTCACACTATTTCAATGAATTTATTACTTTATTTGTCCAGCTCTTCAATCCCACATCTCTAATAAACACTTTCCTTGGAATATCTATTATCACTCTGCTCTTTAAAGTAAAACTAAGCTCTTTGGAGACATAGCCATTTCTGTAAGTAAAACCATTTTTTCTCCTAATACATGCATTCATACACCTAATTTATTTACTAAGCCCCCAATCCAGTACGAAAAATATAGTGGTGAACAAAACAGACCAGATTTCTACATCCACAGAGCTTATATTCTAGCTTCAGGAGGAGAAGCAAAATGATTTCTAAGGGTAATTGTTAGGAAGAAAGTAAACAGGTGCTATAATTGAAGTGCCCTGCTGGACAGGAATGTCTGCTTCTAAATAGGTGACACTTGACCTGAGATTTGAAAGATGAGAACCATCCAACCATGTGAAAGAAAAAACTTGCAGGAAAAAAACTTTTGATCAGATGGAAGATAAGTTCAAAGGCCTTGAGGTGGAACAAGTTTAGCATTTTTTTGATATTCAGAAGGATGGAAGGTAAGTCTCAAGCACTGTCATCAAAGGGGAATGATATGAACTGAGCTAAGAGGTAGACATGGACCAGGCAATGTAAAAGTACAAAACCGGGCACGGGTTCGGATGGATGGCAGGCCTGTCCCCCTCGGTCTCTCATATGCCCCGTGCCAGAGCAAACTGTGGCCTCCAACCATTGCCCAACCTCTTCCCATAGGCTGCTGGCATTGAAGCAGGTTGCACAGGGGGAAGCAAAAAAAAAAAAAAATTATATAAGTAAAATCAATTTTATGTTAAGGAGTTGAGATTTCATTCTAAGTACTAGAGGCCTAGTGCATGGTTCGGGACCTCTGGCTCCTAACCACTTACCTGCCTGCCTGATCGCCCCTAACCACTCTGCCTCAGTTCCTGTACCCAGGACCCAGGCTTCCCTCCCTCTTGCCGGCCACAGGCACCCGGAACCCCAGGCGGCGCCATCCGGGTCCCAGCTCTGTCAGGAAGGACATCAGGGAAGAAGACATCTGGTCTAATTAGCATATTACCCTTTTATTAGTATAGATTAATATAGATAGTGGGAAGCGACTAGAGGCTTTTAAGCAGGGGAGTGTCAAGATATGACATAACAAAACACAGTCATATGATCAAAAACACAAACCAAATTTTAAAAATCACTACCAAAACAGATGTCAAGGAGCTTATACCCTATGTTTTGTTTTCTTCTCTTTTTTCTTTTTTCTTTTTTTTTTAATATATCTTATTGATTTTTTACAGAGAGGAAGAGAGAGAGAGAGAGAGAATTAGAAACATCAATGAGAGAGAAACATTGATCAGCTGTTTCTTGCACACCCCCTACTGGGCTATGTGCCCACAACCAAAGTACATGCCCTTGACCAGTACTGAACGCTCTATCCACTGAGGCAAACTTGTTTTGGCTCCATATGTTTTCTTAAAGTTTTATAGTTTCAGGTCTTATATTCAAGCTTTAATCCATTTTTGTGTCTGTCCAGTTTCGCCATTACCATTTACTGAAGAAGTACTTCCTTCCCCATTGTGATTTTGGTACCCTCGTCAAGGATGTGTTGCCTATATATGTATGAGTTTATTTCTGGGCACTCTATTCTGTTTTATTGGCCTATGTTGGTTTTTTTTTTAATGTCTGAAACAATTTTTGGTTATCACAAAACAAGTTGCTACTTGGAATCTAGTAGTTAAGAGGCCAGGGATATAGCTAAATATCCTAAAATGCACAGGAAAGTTCTTCACAATTAAAATAATCCAGCCCCGCCCTGACTGGTTTGGTTCAGTGGATGGAGTGTCGGTCTGTGGACTGAAGGTTCCCAGGTTCGATTCCAGTCAAGGGCATGTACCATGGTTGTGGGCACATCCCTGGTAGGGGGTGTGTAAGGAGGCAGCTGATCGATGTTTCTAACTCTCTATCCCTCTCCCTTCCTCTCTGTAAAAAAAAAAAAAAAAAAAATATATATATATATATATATATATATATATATATGTTTTAAAAAAATAAAATAATCCAGCCCCAACGACAAAATTGAGAAAGTCTGTTCTAGCCCAAACCACCAAAATCTCTTACCTGAAGTACTGTTAACAGCCAATAACTGGGTCTCCTGATTTTACTTTTATACAGTCTCTCTCCCACAAAGCACAGCTATATGATCTTTTAAAAACAATTTTACAAACTGATGAACAAAATAGATCCAGAGACACAGAAGCATGGAACAGACTGACAAATCTCAGAGGGAAGGCGAGGGGGGCAGTGGCGGTTTTGGGAAGAGATTAACTGAAGAATTTACATGCATACATGCATAATCCATGGACACACAATAGTGTGGTGAAGGCCTGGGTAGGGGGCAGGTACGGGGCGGAGGATTAATGCGGACGATGGAAAGGGGGACATCTGTAATATTTTCAGCAATAAAGATAAAAGAAAAAATAACAACTTTAATTGAATTATAATTGACATACAATATTATATCACGATTAGGGGACATTCAGCCTTTCACCATTAAGCATGTTAGCTCTAGGTTTTGTAGATTCCTTTTATCAGAGTCCCTAGTTTGTTATTTATTCATTTGTTTGTTTTTGGAACACTGATATGAACACAGGTACATATTTTATGTAACTTAAGTACACATTCTATTTGTTTGCTCTCTATAAACAGAGATAATTTTTAAGACAGAAAGCAAAGTAAAGAGCCCTAGCTGGTTTGGTTCAGTGGCTAGAGCATTGACCTGTGGATGGAAGGGTCCTGGATTTGATTCCAGCCAAGGGCACATGGCGGGTTGCAGGCCCCATCCCCACTAGGGGGCATGCAGGAGGCAGCCAATCAATGATTCTCATTCTTTTTTCCCCCTTCTTCTTAAGCAAAATGGCTGCACTCTCTTATTCTTGATGTTTCTCTCTCTCCCTTTCTAAAATCTCTCTCTCTCTATCTCTCTTTCTCTCTCTCTCTCTCTCTCTCTCTCTCTCTCTCTCTCTCTCTCTCACACACACACACACACACACACACACACACACACACACGTAGTGAATGCCATCTCCTGGAGAGACTATCAAGACCATATCAAATGCTACCACCACCTCTCCTCACTCTTTACCATCTCACTACCATTTCATCAATGTAGCCTCTTTGATGGAGATGGGAACAGGGGTGCTGAATTGCAGGTGCAAAGAAACTTATTTGGGAAGCACAAGCCAGGCCAGGCAAAGCTCAGCTGGCCAGGAGCTCCAGCTACTGAGTCCTTTATGAAGCAAGTGACACTGCTAGTTCTCTGGATTATAGACAGTAGTTATTTCTACAGCTTTTAAAGAACCAACCACTTCTAGATGGATTAGACTCTGTTTGGGATTCCAAACATGATTTTCCTCAAGTTGGTTGAGTTTATTTTATTTTTATTTTTTATTTTTTTAAAGAACACAGCTGAATCTGTTGTGTTCATGGTGCTGAGTTTTTAAAATAATCAATACTGAATTTTGCCAAGTGCTTGTTTGTTTGTTTTTTGCAGCTATTAATAGAAACATGTAGTTTTTCTTATGTAGTCTGTTAATATGATAAGATATATTAATTTATTTTCAATTGTTGAACCTGCCTTGAATTCCTGGGTTAAATGTTAGTCACAAAGTGTTTTTCTTTGACACACTACTGGATTCAATTTGCTAATTTTATTTTATTTTTTTAGAATGTTTTTGCATCTTTGTTTATGAGGGGCCCTGATTTGTTTTTTTTAAAATCTGGCTTTGTTTTTTTTTAAATCTGGTTTTTAAAAATCTGGTTTTGGTATACCAAAAACGTTTGGTATCAGGAAACGTTAGGTTAATAAAATGAATTGGGAAGTTTCCCTTCCTCTTCTATTCTCTGAATAGCTTGCATAGAATGACTATTACTTTGTCTTAGAAATAGTAATTAATTTCACTGGTGAATTTAACCAAATGTTTGGTTAAGTTTGCCAGTGAAACTACATGGCACTGGAGAGTTTTTCTTTTTGGTATAGAACTACTCAGCTTATCTCTTGCTTCTTGGGTGAATTTTGGTAGTTTTGATGGCGATCCATTTCATCTAAGTATAGAGTTATTTGAAGAATCCCCTTATTGTGCTTTTAATGTCCAACATGATCAGTAAAAACACCTCCTCTTGGAGCATGTATGTTATAGAAATGACCAAGTACAATGGTCGGCAAACTCATTAGTCAACAGAGCCAACTATCAACAAATTGAAATTTCTTTTGAGAACCACATTTTTTAAACTTAAACTTCTTCTAACGCCACTTCTTCAAAATAGACTCGCCCAGGCCGTGGTATTTTGTGGAAGAGCCACACGCAAGGGGCCAAAGAACCGCATGTGGCTCGCGAGCCGCGGTTTGCCGATCAGACCTAGTACAATCAAATACAAGACAAAGCACAGAAAGGACATACCTGCAGCAGTACTAGCCTCAAGCCTTGTTACCACTGACTTTCAATTCCATTTTCAGTCAGATACCGAGTCCTTTTGGTTTGTCCTAGCAAATTCCTCCTAGGCCCAATACTGCTTGGCACAGCCCGTTAAGACCCCTCATCTATCTACCTAAAATATTCCACCTGTCACCTAATGAGTCTCACTGCCTTTCTCCACATCCTTCACATTGCTGCCAGACTTACCTTCTTATACTCCAATGTTTCCACACTGCCTACAAGATAAAGACCCTTCACATCTGGCTTAGTCTTGCCTTTTGAATTGCAGTTCATCTTATGCCTCTAGATAACTCCTTTTAAAATATATTTTATTGATTTTTATTTTTTTTTTACAGAGAGTAAGAGAGAGTGATAGAGTTAGAAACATCAAAGAGAGAAAATCATCCATCAGCTGCCTCTTGCACGCCCACCCTGGGGATATGCCCGCAACCAAGGTACATGCCTTTGACTGGAATGGAACCTGAGACCTTTCAGTCCACAGGCTGACGCTCTATCCACTGAACCAAACCGGTCTCAGCTCATGCTATGTCTCTAAATCAGGTGTTTTTAACACGTAGGCTTCAGAGGGGAGGGCTGCAATCATCTTGTCTTATACAAACTGCTCAAATGTTTGCCGAGAACAAACATGCGCGCACGCCAGCGGCAGGTGATAACAATAATGGCATGCAGGGGAAGAAAGTTGATGGAAGAGGACTGGGTGAGAGGTACCTAACGAAGCATCGAGTACATTTTGAGGATGTGAAATCTGTATTACTGAACTCAGAGCTTAAGATACCCGATAAAAATGGAACGGTCAAGGGCCAGTGTGGACAGCTCTGAAAAAAGTGTGTAAACAATGGCCAACTTTTCAGAAACAGGAACTTTCTAGACAGTATCCAGAAAAAAAAATTCCTCATGAAAAACAGCTAGAAGGGAGATGCCCAGGTGTATGGGAAAGAGAAAGTGGTAACAGCACCAGCTTTGGGGTAAGCTACCCAGGAGATTCACATTTCAACTCCATCACACCCAGCTGTCACTGCAAGCAAATTACGTCAATTCTCTGTGCCTCAGTATTCTCATCCGTATCTAATTATGGAGTGGTGCGGTGATGAAATAAAATACGTGTAAAACGCTTAGGTCAATGTCTTATTCTTAAGGGATTCTTTCCTTAATTGTTTATTTAATAAGAGGAAAGATTAGGAAGGGAACCTGCACCGAGATGGGTGGTCCTTGGGAGAGATTTTCATGCAAAGTGGAACAATTCAGAAGCAGCCACAAAGAGTAGGTTCCCAAAGAAAGTTGGAGGAAAGAACATTTCCAGGGGAGATGAGGGGGGTGTCTGCGGGCTCTCAAAATGGGAGGCAGAGCAAGACCTGAGAACAGGGTCAGACCAAGGTCACACCTTGCCGAGTTCAGCGGGACCTCCAATAACGTGGTGTTACTCATCCTGGTTTGGTTGAGGAGATGCCCTGGGAATGGTGCTGGTTAATATCAGCCTATGCTACAATGACTTTCCTGATACTAGTTTTGCTTCAAGTCGCAGAAACCACCCACAATATTGAGGATTTACTATTATGGATATGACAAGCCAATGACTATGAGTAAGAAACGGTTACCAGAAAGGGCTCATCTCCTGGGGGGAACCCTGAGTGCTGGGCGCAGCCTGACTTGGGAATGAGAGGCCCACCATCATGGCTTTGACCTTAGAGGCCTGCTGGGGAGGGAGTTGGGGGAAAGGGAGAAAGAAAATGCCCGCGCAGCCTCTGCCCGGCCACACTTACTGTAAACTGCAGGGGCAACGACCTTCCTGGGCCGGCTCCAGCCGGGGCCCGAGGGTGCAGAGGAACGAGGGGAGCTGACGCCCGACGCTGGACCACGAGCTACTGAGCGGGGTGGGCGGGGCGGGGCCTCCACGCATGCGTGCACTCGCCAGCCGCCGGAAACGTTCGGTCCACGACACAGATAGGGGCGGGGCCCACGTGGCTCTTCCGGCGCAAGGCCTGCAGTCAAGCCTGTGGGCCAGGGGTTGCCCGGAATCTCAAATCGTGGGGCCAAATTCTATAACAGAGTGTCAACAAATGGCAGCATTTACCCCCAGGAATTTGTTAGAGATTTCATTTCAGGTTCTGTTACAAGATTGTGGCCACGTGGCCAAGTTTTCCAGGATTTGTGTTGGTTTTTTTTTGTAGATTAATTTGCCCAGATTTGATACTAATAAGATATTGAGACTGTCTGGTAATGTGGTTTTTGCTCCATGAATTGGAGTCTTCCCTGTGGTTCCTGTGAAGTCTTCCGGTCTTCGTGCTGTTCTGCACATGTCCTTTTACGTTTAACCTACCAGCTTTTGTTGTTGTTTACTTTTCATAATGGGCCCTAGGATAATTTGTTTTTTTTGGTATGTTGATCCATCTGCTCATTCAGCTGAACCTTTGTATTCTTTTGGATTTTATAGGTAAGAATCTATCTGTAAATATCAATTTTGTCTCTCCCCCCTCCCCCCAAAAATTTTTTTTTTCAGTACAACATTGTATAGTAGCATCAGGGGTAGTTCTTTCCAGAAGTTATTTGGATTGCCTATTATGTGTTCATTTTTTTTTTAAAATATATTTTATTGATTTTTCACAGAGAGGAAGAGAGAGGGATACAGAGTTAGAAACATCGATGAGAGAGAATCATCGATCAGCTGCCTCTTGCACAGCCCCCACTGGGGATGTGCCCGCAACCAAGGTACATGCCCTTGCCCGGAATCGAACCCGGGACCTTTCAGTCCGCAGGCCGACGCTCTATCCACTGAGCCAAACCGGTCCCGGCTTATGTGTTCATGTTTTTTGAAGGTTTCTGGTAGATAACCTTTTTAAAAAATGTAGACCATAGGGGGTAAGTAGTTAGGAATAATTTTTAAAAGTTATCTGGGGGTCGCCGAGACCGGTTTGGCTCAATGGATAGAGCGTCGGCTTGGGGACTGAGGGGACCCAGGTTCGATTCTGGTCAGGGGCATGTACCTTGGTTGCGGGCATATCCCCAGTGGGGGGTGTGCAGGAGGCAGCTGGTCAATGACTCTCTCTCATCGATGTTTCTAGCTATCTCTCTCCCTTTCTCTCTGTACAAAATCAATAAAATATATTTTTTAAAAAAAAAGTTATCTGGGGGTCATATTGGCAGAAATGGGTGGGAGATTAGATGCAGACAGTGAGGAAGGAATCTAGATCAGTGTCCAAACTTCTCATTCGGATGGTGAAGTCATTATCTGGGGTAGAATGCACAGAGGATTCGTGTGGAGAGAGTGGGCAGATTTCCGGTTCAGTTATACTAAAGCTGACTTTAAAGGCCCTGTAGGACTTCTCAGTTTAGATTAGGGGTGTCGAACTCAATCAGAGAAGGGACCAAAATCTAAAATCCAGCCTAAATCGTGGGCCGAATGGTTTACTGAACAGTCATAAACTGTCATTGTGATGGAAACACAGCGGAGTGCAGTGATGACAGCGCGGCGGTGCGGGCCACATTGCAAGGCCTGGCGGGACGGATTTGGCCCGCGGGCCTTGTGTTTGACACATGTGGTTTAGATGATAGGTAGGTAAAAACCTAAAAGGAAATGTGCAGAACAGCACGAAAACTGGAAGACGTCACATGAATCACAGGGATATAGCAATCTGCAGCTTAAAGACCAGGGTCAGAGAGTCAGAGGAGGGAGCAGCATGGGGGTAGATAATGAGTTCGAGAATCAGCTGTGGGTGCACCGGAACAACTACTGTCCTCAGGGTGGCATTTGGTCCTACGGACATTCCTTTCCCATCTCCCCTGTACTTCCCTTACCTCTGAACGTTCCTTCTCCAAATGCTTTGGAGGCTCCTCTCACTCCTCCCCTAAACAGTAGGGATCTCAGGTGATTTCACCACCTGATTTCCCTGCTGTGTATCTAGCAAAACTTTATCTCCAGCCCAGAGTTCTTGGTAAGATTAAGACCCATGTATCCAACCATTTTCTAGAAGAAAAGAGGCAGTCGGCATTGGCGGTGTCAGTGGATTGTCTGAGGGACCACACAAAGGCTTGGTATCTCCTGTTTACTTTCATTCAAGGCCGGCCGTATGAGTTGAACTTGGCCGTGACTATTTCTTGTTTCTCTGAACACGTCAAATTTGGAAGTCAGGGTTTGCAAGTCAGATCTGTTAGTATGCATTAATATGACCCCACCTCCACACCCTTCTTTAATCCTGCACATATATTTCTGAACGTTAATGCCCCTTTTATGCCCAGTATATTGTTTTTTTCTTCACCAGGAATTGATATAAAATAAAAATGGAAATAAAATTGAAATCTTATTGACATAGATAAAAATGATTTCATATTGTAAAAGAGGAAAAATGTTTTACATGGATCTGCCTCTTTAAAACAAAAATTGTAACTCTTATTTTGTAGGAAAGGAGGGCTTTTTACTCTAGGATACCTTTTTTTGTGTGATCAGTTTCAATGATGAAGGGATTCCGAACCTGTAAGCAGACCATGCCATCGCTTGTACTTTTTATGTGGAGAAATTGGATAAAACACAAAACTAGTATTTTAATAAATTCACTTTAAAATGTTTTTCACATCATCTACTTAAAATGAGTTACAATGATATGATCTCCCACTCCCCAGGAGGACGGGTGATCTTGAACCTGATTAGGAACACCGAAAATGAACACAGAGAACCACCTGTGTGGTCTAGAGGAAGGCTTCCTGAGTTAGTCTGACCTAACATATTGACCACTGACTGTACCAGGGTTCACCGGCAGCTACAGTGTAGTTCTTGAGTGTGTTTCTATTGTGAACTTATTTCTTTGAATTTAACCCCTTTGAGATGATTTCTGCACCATAGTGCTTTAGCATCTTGAAAATTTCAGTTATTCCTGAAGCCACTGGTATAAATCATGCTTCTTCTTCAGGTTAACTGTTTAGAAGTTGTAAGGTGCGTGGTCATTGCCTCAGTGAGCTGCGCTGAGTGGCCTTCAACCGGTGACACTTGTCCTTGCAGGATCAAGGGAGCCAGGCCAGGAGGGGAGGGGGCGGTGCTCAGTTGCATGAGAATGAATTAGGACTCAGGTAAACTGGGTATTTTTTTGATAACCTCAGGTCTATCAAGAGTCAGAAGGACTCAGTCTTGCCTTGTATACCTTCAGACCTATACAGAAAACATATGTAAGAACATAATTATTTCTTCACAGAATACTTAGGTTTTCAACAAGGAAAGTCAAGAGTTTATATAAATACCCATTTTCATATCAATTTATGAAATAAAAATTTTCTCAAGAAGAACAGAACTGTTTTTAGCAGTCAGTTTTAGATGGGAGTGCTTCTGACGCCCATGGGAAACTGTAATGATGTCTTCCCTCGGTTTTAAATTCCTCACTCATTTATGCCATTTCCTCCATCGTATACTAACTTCTGCCCATCCTCACATTAATTTACTGTTAATACCAAAATATCTTTAAATTATTTGTATACATATACATATATATTAAGTTGAACCTTATTAAACTCTTAATATTTGATTTTGATCTATGAAAACAGTTTTCCATATGGTTGACCTTAGTAAAATCTGGACTTTAGTTGGATGTTTATATCTCCTTTTTTTATATGCTATGTGGTACTTTTATCTGTATTTATGCAGGGAGAATGAAGATGCCTACTCTTGTCACCACTTATGCAGCCTTCAAAAATTGTGTCTGTTGACTACTGGTGACTTTCATGAAAATATTTAGTCGCTCAGTATCTGACCCAAAAAACGTCTGTTCCAACTGGTCATACTGTCTTGTAATTACACCATCCATCTACTGATCTGGAACAATCCACCCTAGAGTACGGCTTTCATAGGCATACGGTCAAGTCTAGAACGAGCAGACCAAATACCAAACATTTTCAACTGGGAATTCCACACCTGCGTCCTCCTTGACATTTAACATAGAGAGCCTGCCCTGAGAAACCCTTGCTAAGCACCAGCAAAAAAGAGATGTCCCGGCCCTTGCTTTCAAGAAACTTACCATCTTTGGAGAGACAGAAAAATATAAATAAGAAGATATCCTAAGTGTTTTAAGTTTCAAACTGGAAAAGAAGGCAGCACTTAGGAAGCTTTAAAGTGACTTCCCATGCTAAGGGCAAAAGCCAAACACAAATGTGGACTGAGTTGAAATTCAGTCGCTGTGCTAACCAAAGGTTTCCTGCACGGTTGTGGAGCCAAGAAATCCTTTTATCCCCCCAGAAAGAGGGACTAGAGCTCCTCCAGGTCAGTTAAATCCACTGTCACTTTCAAGAAGACGGTGTCATCTTTGATGTAGGTGCTCTTGGCGTTCTCCAGAACGGAGTGCGCCACGAAGCGCGGGCAGCCGGAGGCAATGTTCATCTCCCCATCGGGACGCTTAAAGCTGCTGCTGTTGGGGTCGGCCTTGAAGGTCTCCACGATGTGGTTCTTTTTGCCACTCTGGTCCAGCAGCATGAGGGTGACCCTCTGCCGGAACGGCCACTGCAGCAGGGAGTCAAACTCCCCTCGCATCACCACGAAGTACAGCGACAGGTGCGTGCCCTTCCCGGAGCCGTCCCCGTTGAGGTAGGCTCTGGCGCAGAGGCGGTAGCCGCACCGGCTGGTGTAGAAGGGCTGGCTGAAGATGGACACCGTGTGCCCGTCCAGCGCCTCCCTCTTCTTCGCTGCGTAGTCCGTCACCTTCCAGATGAGCTTGCCGTTGTAGCAGGCGCCTTCCAGCAGCTTGAACCGCTCTTCGTTCTTATTCAGCTGTGCTTTGTGAATATTGATGTGGGCGTCGTGTCTGCTCGTCTCCCCTTCCAGGACAACTGCAAAGAGAAGCAAACACACACATGAGCACACAGATGCTGTAGGCCTGAGCTGTGTTTAGAATTTGCCCAAAGTGGAATTTTGCTCTCTGAGAAGAACCGATAAAACTCTGACATCCTAAAGATGAAGTGGATTCGATGTCCACCAATGGGCCCCTAGAATTACTAAGAGCAACTCAGTGAATCTCATGTCTTGGCAAGAACGGCACCAAGCAAACTTGAATGTGTCCTCTTGAGGGGAGGGGGGGAGGGAAAAAGGAGAAACAATTGTAATAATATGAACAATAAATATTTATTAAAAAAAAAAAAAAAAGAATGTGTCCTCTGGAACTGAAACCCACCGACGTGTAGAGAAGACACTCAGCATTCAACTAACGTGTGTGAGCACTTGAGCCCCTAGTTTTCAAACCGGGATGCTTTTAAACAACCAAACCCTCTTATATCTCCCTGTACAACCCTGCCTCGAGCAAGTCTATCGGCATGGCACCAATTTTTCAGCAGCATGTGCTCACTTCCTGTCTCTGTGTCACATTCTGGGAATTGTGGCAATACATCAAAATTTTTCATTACATTTGTTACGGTGATCTGTGATCAGGGATCTCTGATGTTACGAGGATAAGAGCCGTCACCCAGCAAACTGATTACGACTCACTGAAACCTCAGATGACAGCATTCCTTGGTGATAAAGTATTATTTAATAAAGACGAGTATATTATTTTTTTTTCAGGCAACTCTATTGCACACTTAATAGACTAAAGTATAGTGTAAATATAACTTTTATATGTACTGGGAAACCAAAAAACCTGTGACCCACTCCATTGCAATATCTGCTTTATTTCAGTGGCCAGTATTTCCAAAGTCTGCTTCCACTAAAAACAATGTTCCAACCACGTTTCTCTTAGCTTTCTCATGATTTTCCACTCTCAATTAAAAACCATCGTTCCCTTGTTCTTGATATTTCCTGGGAAATATCTACCCTTTGCCTCTTCAAGCCCCTGCTAAGGCTCTTCATAATTTTTATCTGAGTAGCCAGACTACCATGCTATTTCGAAAATACCAGATTCAACCAGTTTGTCCTGGACAGCTGTGACTCCATTTGGCCAGATGTTAGCTTGTTGCATGAACACCTGCAGACAAAAGAGTCCTCAAAAGGGAAGTAGAAAATATGAGACATACCTAATCTTTGATCATTGCTTTCCAGCAGGGTGATCTTCTCTTTCACTGTATCAATCACTTCCACCAAAGGCCTCAGATCAAGTCTATTTTGTTGCTGGTTTGCCATCTGTAATAACTGACGCACTTGAGCTTCTAGCCAAGCCGACTTGTCAATGTGACTGGCAAGAACCTTTCAGTATAAAATGGGCATTCATACCTTAGTCAATTAATATCTTAGTAATTTATCAAGATGCAATTTTCAATTCAAACATTTCACATTTAATTAATCAATTAATGAAATGAAAACTATATAGTCCAGAACAGAAAATTCAATGAGGATGCAGAGAGATTAACCACCTATATCTCTTCTCTTCCTCCTCCTCCTCTTTCTCCTCCTTCTCCTTTTCTTCCTCCTCTCTCACCCAGCTCCTGTTCCAAATCTTTAAATTTCTCTTTACCTGATTTTTAATCCTCTCTCAATTTCTCTTCACTTAGCTAACCTCTCTTTAGGTCTCCGGTCTCATGTTGTGTCTCCTCTTACCTATCATTGCCTTCTTAGAAGTTATCCTCCTGACTCACTTCTGTGAGAAGGCAGAGAAGGAGCTGGAAGTCAGCCCAGCTGTTCTGGCCTGAGCACTACAAATGTACACAGTGCCCCGAGATGAGGCCTGAACTTCTGATAGCTCTGTTTACATGGAAGAGGTTAAGTATGGCTAAAACTATAGTTCCCCTCTCCCATGCTTTAATTCTGACTTCTCACTTTATCAGAAAAAGAATTTAAATGGTAACATATGATGCATTTCCTTTTCTCTCTACACACACACACACACACACACACACAGTGTATTGACAAACTATGCAAACTATATGGTCTGCATCTTCTTGGATCCAAATTTCAAAACTATTGCCCATACCACATGTCTTGAAATCTTTTTCACTATAAACTTTATAATTTTATAATCACAATAAAGACATTATCCATTAGGAATTTGTTTATGGTTATTTCACATTCATGATTTACAAATAATTTTGCTATATCTTAATAGTATTTAAAGCATTTTCTTCCCAAGAGAATTAATAGTTTTACTGTGTTGACTATAAAATGCAGAACTATAGATGTTCTCAATGAACCAAGTGACTAATATCGGCCCAACATTAATTAAAACCCTAAATGCCATAAATGATATAAAAGAACTAATGTTAAACTTGCTAAATGTACTAGGATTCTGTAAAAGATCTTGATTCTTACAAAATACATACTTAAGCATAGAGGAGTGAAATGCCACAATATATGCAGCTTATTCTCAACTGGTTCAAAAGGAACGAAGGGAGAAGCCTGACTGGTGTTCACAGTGGTTAGAGCATCGTTCTGCAGACCAAAGGGTCGCGGGTTCGATTTTTGGTAAAGGGCACATACCTGGGTTGCAGGTTTGATCTCTGGCCCCCGTCAGGGAGCTTACAGGAGGCAACCATTCAATGTGTCTCTCTCACATCAAAGTTTCTCTCTCTCTCTCTCTTTTTCTCCCCCTCCCTCCCCCTCTTCCACTCTCTCTAAAAATCAATGGAAAATATATCCTTGGGTGAGGAGTAACAACAAAAAAACCGTATAAGAGAAACCCTCACTGCCAATTAATTGGAGACTACTTCTTGGCTATGAACAGCAAGGTCATTCTCACCTGGATGTTTGAGAGGAAGTTTCCGTTTTTGCCAAACAGCTGTGTGAACTGCTTGAACTCCTTTTCGAATTTCTTTACAGTTTCTGCGAGCTGCTGGATTTTACTTTCTTTCTGTTCTAGGCTCTTATGTAAGTCAGAAATCTAATAACAGGAATGCGAATGAGGTCATTTAAATGCATGCATACAAATTAAAATTAATATAGTTCTAGGCAAATATTGCAGGTAAGAAAGTGTTTTGAGAAAAACCATATGTGTGTGTGTGTGTGTGTGTGTGTGTGTGTGCGCGCGTATTTCTAGGAAAATATTTACAGGTGCTTTGAAAAAGGCTTGATTCACAGATTTCTCATCAGCTTTTCCTATGCCTAACCCGCTATGATGGTTCATCTAATGACAGTGACATCATGTGGCTGAATTTACTGAACTGGTTCTCTTCATTCACTCAGGATGCACTTACTACAGAACCACAGTGTGCTGATCACCATGCCATGTTAGAGGCCATGTGCATAGTACCAAATAATAGCTGAAATCTGCTGAATCTATCATCTGTAATAATAAAAGTATAATATGCTAATTAGACCAGACAGCCAAATGACCTTCCGGACATCTTTCCGGATGTCCTTCTGGACAACCTTCCAGACGAAGCCAGGGCTGTGAGGGCCGAGGTAAGCGAGGGCCAAGCCCCTTGTATCAATTACGTGCATCAGGCCGCTAGTAGCTTTTATAATTCATGAGCTCTTTTATCCTCAAAGAACTCTGAGTGTCAGGTATGAATATCACTCCCATTTTACAGATGACAAAACAGAGGAACAGAGAGTTTGAGTAATCTGCCCAGCACAGAGCTAGCCAGTGGTAGGCAAAACGCACTACTCTCTCAGAATTTGTAATTTGTTTGAAAGAAATAACCAAACATCTAAGCGTGACCTAGGCAACTCTTCTCTCAGCAAAGCTTCTCAAAGGCAGGAGTTAGGACTTACTACAAAACACATAAACCCATAGTGCCTAGAAGAGATTGTCAACTGTTATTTCACGGTAACATAGACTTCGTTTAAAACATCAGACACCTCCTAGGCACCTCCTAGGTGCCAGGTATCATTAACTAAAAGGAGTGTGGAGAGCCTCCAGACAGGACTATGGGACATGGGTTTGAGATCGAATCCCCACACAAGTTACAAACACATGAAACTTTCTTTTGAGTTGAGTTCCTTCCTCTGTTGAACGAGGAACTTCAAGGCATCTTCCACTTCTAATATTCTACAATCCTAGGACTCTGGCCACTTGATAGAGAAAGGCCTACCTCCAGTCGATGTCCACAGAAACAGAATACAAGAATACCAAGAATGGCAAACCCCAGCAAGTCTGCTGCCCGCCCCCCCTTGTATATTTGAACCCTTGACTATTCATTTACCTGTTCTTCCAATTTCAAGTTCTTTTCTAAAACGAGAAGCATGTGGTCCCGTAAGGCTGAGTTCTCATGCTCCTTCAGGTTTAACCGTTTACCCTTCAACAGGAAGAGAAAAAATGAGGCAAGAGGTGGAAAGGGTCCCCAAATGAGGATGGTGATGGGATACTTTGCTAAAACAGAACTTGAACAACTTTGCTTATTTGTTTCAAGGTGGGTTGCCGGGGGTGGGGGTGAGGGGGGAGGACGGCCCTCCAGTCCCCTTTCCAGCGTTAAGATTCTACAGTATCCATGAGACAATCTTAAACTTACAGGGGCGGAGAATCAGGCCATTATCAAAATTCTCAGTGCTGATTTTCTTCCTTGTCCTGAGAATAAAGGGTGGGGCCCAGTAGGTTTACAGTTGTGAGTACGGGAAACAGAGTTTATTCTTGTATTATGTAAGATAGAGTTTTAGCGATCACAGTTGCTAAAGGCTTCCTGTTTATTGTATATCTGCAGGAGTATTAATGGGGGCCCTTTGAACTTAGGAGAAAGAGAGAGGTAAGGAAAATGTGCCGGAGAGAGGGGGGTGGTGGTGGAAGAGGTGGGGAATGCATAAGTGTGCTATTCTTATATTACTATTTATTAATTATTATCTTCTTTGCCATACAAACAACTGTAATCCTACTTTTGCCCCACCCTGTATATGACTGTGGGCTAAATGTAATTATTGTCATCTTTCAACTCTTCCCACATAAAACCTATCTCCTAGGTGGATTAGTTCCCGATCAGTTCTAAGCTAGGTTAGTTCTCCCTCCTGCGAAGCACATTTCCATCCTTCTATCACCATCCTGCTATCACAGGCTGAAGGTGTGCAACCTAATTATAATTCCAGCCCAAGCAAATGTAGTGCCCTCACAATCATTGCAAAGTGCCTATGTTACCAATAGAAGCAGATCTTAGGGATTCTGGGTGGCCCATGAATTCGAAGCAAACATTTGTTAGCGATTGCCCTTCAATTTAGGGTTGGCCCCTTGGCCAGAGAATAAATCCCTTCCCCAGCTTTGGTACGGAGGTGAATTCCAGAATACAATCCAATTGGAAGTTTGGGTGGAACTATAAAGACGATTTCTTTCAGAGCTGGAAAGCAATTCTGTATTTCATGCACTGGAAGGATATATATATATATATATATATATATATATATATATATGCGCAAATATAAATGTATATTTACATATATTATGTATTTAAGTACATATTATATATATTTAGTATATACTACATGTCTCCTGTTGGTTCTATTTCTCTGGAGAACCCTGACAAATACAATTTCCAGTCTTCAAGTTCTCAGAAGTGAATGTGCTTTTCCATCCCAGATGGAATCGAAGAGTACCAGGAACTCACCCAGTGAATTACACAGTAGACTGTAGAGGCAGAAACCAAAAGGCGCACCATACCTTTACACAACAGCCATAGTGCTTGAAAGGACAGTCTTGCTCCACCTCAGGACACACAGCCAGGTGTTTATCCACCTACGAAACGGACAGCCTCACGCTACAGACACGCATCGGCCATCCTCCAACTGTCTGGTGTAACTGCAGCAAGCAGGGAGCCCAGGGAGGCTTGGGGAGAAGGGCGGGAACAGGGGGAGGAAAAGGCGATGCTAAGGCTTGGTGGAGGGAGTGCTACGGTGACAACGGGGGAGAATTCTCGGGAAATGGGAGGGGCAGACAGAGACATGGTTATCATGGGTATGTATCGCTGAAGCCTTGGGCCTTCGCCTAGGCTATTTTGTCAGACACACCCCGTCATGACTGCTAAGACTTTATCTTACATGAAATCTACCGAGAGAATTATTTACAGTTACCTCAGATCTGAGAATAACATGCGAACACTTGTTGGGACAAGGCACTGGGTACTCGGGACACAAGTTTTCTTCGTGATTCTGAAACAGAAAAAGTGTGATGAGACAAAGCCCCCTTTGCTTTTATGCCCTCGGAGAGTTTATTCAGATGTCTCTCGGGGAACCTATGCATGTGGCTTACCGTCAGAAAGGTATGGCCTGCCGAAACCGGTTTGGCTCAATGGATAGAGCGTTGCCTGAGGACTGAAAGGTCCCAGGTTTGATTCCGGTCAAGGGCATATACCTCGGTTGCGGGCACATCCCCAGTAGGGGGTGTGCAAGAGGCAACTGATCGGTGTTTCTCTCTCATCGATGTTTCTAGCTCTCTATCCCTCTCTCTTCCTCTCTGTGAAAAATCAATAAAATTAAATTAAAAAAAAAAAAAAAAGAAGGTATGGTCTACTTCCAGAAAGGATTGCATGTAGATGGCCGCCTTCTTGGTATAAAGGAATTCAACTCCATTAAGGTTCCCAGTTATTCCGAAAGGAAGTCAGAGGGCACAGGACGCTGAGAGGGCAGGCTGTGGGAGTGATCAGCGTGGCTCCTCTGGCCCAGGTGAAAGGCAGCCATGCTCTTGTCTTATGCCTACAGCCAACCTCCCCGGTCAGACCACAGCATCTGAGGACAGACAGCACCGCCACCTCCTGGTGACCCGTCTCTGCGTCACTCCTTGCACACTCTCCTCAGCAGGTGCCCAAACAAACACGTTTGCCAATAATTAACGAATGCCACCCAGAAGGCTTTTGTTCCTTACAGAACTTCTCTCACATCAAGTTCCTCTTTAGACCTAGTGCCTCTGCACAAACATAAATCCAGAATGGTGGGCTTCTGGTAGCCCATCTGATGCCCTGTGATCACTCAAGCACAATTCAGCCCCATAAAGGTGAGGAATCTTTTTATTTTTTTTATTTTTTACCTGTAGATTGATGACGACCACCTCCTTTTTGCAATAAATGCATTTTTCCTCTCGAAACTGGCAGTCGGCACTCAGATGCTCTTTCAGATCTTTCCGGAGGACTGACTGCTGACAGCTCTCATTGGAACACTGCACAGCTTGAAATAAGCACTGCAGAAGGTGGTCCTGCGACAAACACAACAGGGCGGTGGGAAGGAGGCGCTGAAAGGCCTAGGGAGAGCCACTAGGGGGCGCTGGGAGGAAGGACGGCCATGCCTGCTGGCTCTGAGCACTGAAGAGAGGGACTGCTTGGACCTAGGCTGTGAAAGCCAGTCTTGAGAGGTGGGAGTTGGGAGGATGGGGGAAGATGGGAGAAGAAGGAGGAGGTATAACGAGTTTATTTTAGATTACTTAGGAACAGGCTCATATTCTCAGGTTAGTTCTTGAATATTTCCTTGAGGTGTGCCAATGAATTGACCAGACCTCAAGAATATTTATTTCCTTTGTGCACGCTTTATCCCCTCCCCTAGCACCAGGCACTAATTTGCAGATGGTAAAAGCCAGCACAGAGGGGGAAAGGGGGAAGAAAAGAAAGGATTAAAGGAAGAAAAGGGAGGGAGAGGAAGCTGGTCCAGAAAAGGAGATAGGGGACATATAGGACCCACAGGCCCACGAGGAACTGGGAATGGCCAGTCTTACAAGGTCAGGAAATATTTTCAACTGGAATATAGGAGACTAATGCCATCATCAGAATTCATTCTAGCTGTCTTCACATTAGAGATGTATGAAAACAGACATAGTTTAATAGAATGTTTGAATGACTGTAAGTTACTGTGATTCTGACAAGTGATCAAAATCCTAATAAGGTTTGTCTGCCTGAAAAAAAAAAGTCCTTTAAAACAAGGTTGGAAAGCTATGGCCCTTGGGCCAACCTGGCCTGCTACTTGTGTTTGTAAATAAAGTTTTACTGGAGAATAGCCACATGTCTATCTATTTGTTCTCGGGTGATCTAGCCTCTAAAATGGGGAAGCTGAGCACTGGTGACAGACACTGCAAAGCCTAAACTATTTACTGTCTGGCTCTTGGCAGCCACAGTTTGCTGACTCCTTCTCTGAAGGGGAAAAAAAAAAAAAAAAAAAAAGAGCAAGGAGTTTTTCTATGGGAGATAAATAAATACACCTATTTTTCCTCTGCCTCTGCTGGCAAGAAACAAATGGTGATGACAACTGAAATCCACATCTTATCCAAAATTCACTGCCGTTACCCTCAACTCATCAAAGCAGTCAGTGTCCATCAGGATTCTGCTATCTGTGAGATCCCCCCACCCTGTCCTACAAGGTGGGGAGGACAGGGAATGAGGGGAAACCCGAAAGAAAGAGGTGAAAAGAAAGCAGCCACTGTTCTCCAGAAGCTCGTGATCTGGCCACTAAAGCTGACCCCTGGTCCATGTGAGCCTCGTGTCCCCTTCACGCTTAGCGACAACCCAAAGCTGGAAAGAGGCCCTGCTTGAGGGCCTGACTCTCTGACCATCGGAGCCAGTGGCCAGGGGCTGTCATGGGAAAACACAGCCAAAGTTCCCTGAATTTTTAAAGAACTCCCTGTGCTAACAAGGAAATCATTTGCACATGTATAAGCTCAGTGCCTGCAGGGTCTGAAGGGCTGTGTTCCAAAACGTGTGGGCTGTGGGCGGGAGTGGAAAATCTCAGCAGCCTCCGAGCAATTCTCTGGAAGCTTGGGATGCCTGCGCCTTATTCACTCGGCGGCGTGTGATCAAAGCTGATAGGGGCCTGCCCTGGCGGGGCCACATCTCACCCCTGAATTTCACAAGCTTCCCGCTGGCTGGCAGAGCTGGGCAGGACAGGGTAGGACAGTTTCATTCGATAGGAAGCTCACGCCCCTTCACCTCCCCTGTACCTTTTGTTTGCATCTCCTAACAATGCTTCACCTTTCAACTCCATCCTGTCTCAGTTCTGATCTGCTTTCTGCCTTAGATCATAAACTCTAAGAGGCCAGGGCCCGCAGCTGCCGGGAAGCAACCACTCTGGCAGCTGCAAATGCCTCCGGGCAGTCATACCCTGGCTCCCACACTAAGAACCCCAAATCCTTCACAGTCCCGCTCCCCCCCCCCCCCAAAGGACATGCCCTTGCTTAAGCGTTCCTTTTGGACCAATGCCCCTCACCCACAATGTGAGGCCTCCTTCAGGTAGCATGTCCTCCATGCCTTCCAGGGAGAGCAAACCTCCTCACTCACAGCTCAGCCCTTCGCATGTTGTGCTATAGAATTTCTAGGTAGGAATTCTCTGAGGGCAGCCCAATGGCCACCCTCCCACCCCCCATGCTTAGCCCAATAACCGTCACAAAAAAGGTGTTCAATGCCCGTCACTGGGAATGGGCAAAGGCAGATGTTGTGTGCAATACCAACCTGGTATCGTCCCAGAGTAATCTTGGTGTTACACCTGGGAGCATTTTTGCAATACACATATAAGTTGAGGACTTCCCTTTTGCAGCAATTGTCCTTAAACACCTGAAAGATAAACATGATAGGTCTCACACCGAAGCTCTAGAGCAGCATGAGTTATCATGAACTTGGTCTTCAGGTACATCTCAGAAGTCGGGTGGAAACTTCCAGACAGCGGGGTTGGAATGGAAAAAAATGTCAGATTCAGCATCAGAAAGGGAAAAGCTGTCTCAGATACATACTTCTGACAGGCCACTACACATGCAAGGCAGAAAATCGATGTCCAGAGAAGCTCCCTGTGAATGTGACCCCGCATGCTCAAAGGTCAGGAGGCGGGGCTGTGGCTGAGAGTGATGTCTCCAGCTTCCTGTCCCAGCAGATGGGTTTGTATTAGTCATCAGGTAGCGCCCCTGCAGCTGTGCGGACTTGCTATTTCAGCACAAACCAGGGGTCGGCAAACTTTCTCCATAAAGAGTGAGAGAGCAGTATTTTCAGCTTGGCGGGCCACGTTGCAATGGTCTCTGTTGCAACCATTCAACTCCACCATGTACAATACTTAAATAAAAGGGCATAGCTGTGTTCTAATGAAACATTATGTATGAACACTGAAATACAATTTTCACACGATGCATAACATTATTCTTTTAAAAAAATATTTTTTATTGATTTCAAAGAAGGAGAGAGAGATAGAAACATCAATGATGAGAGAATCGCTGGAGATACAGCCCTCAACTCAGGCATGCACCCTTGACTGGAATCAAACCTGGTGCCCTTCAGTCTGCGGGCCAATGCTCTATTCACTGAGCCAAACCAGCTAGGTTTGGCTGGTTTATAACATTATCCTTACTTTTATTAAAACTTTTTATTTTGAGCCGGGACCGGTTTGGCTCAGTGGATAGAGCGTCGGCCTGCAGGCACATCCCCAGTAGGGGGTGTGCAAGAGGCAGCTGATCGATGATACTCTCTCATCGATGTTTCTAACTCTCTATCCCTCTCTCTTCCTCTCTGTAAAAAATCAATAAAATATGTTTTAAAAAAAACCTTTTTATTTTGAAATAGTTTAAGACTCACAAAAAAAGTTGCAAAAACATATAGAGTTCCTGTGTGCACTTCTTCTGATCCCTCTCCCCCCCAATGATTTAAAAATATAATAACTGTTATTAGCTCACAGGCCATACAAAAACAGGTGTCTGGATTTGTTCCATCAAATCCCGAGCTGCCACATGCCACCCGCTGGCCAGTGTTGAGGCAGGCACAAATACAGCACTGCCCTATGCTCTGCCTTTCAGAAGGCATGATAAGAGCATAGAGTAGGAGCAAGTATCAGATAAGTGTTCAGGTTGGAGAGAAAACTGCCCAGCCAGTATGCCTCAATGGTTGAGCGTTAACCTATGAACCAAGAGGTCACCAGTTCAATTCTCAGTCAGGGCACATGCTCAGGCTGTGGGCTTGACTCCCAGTAGGGTGTGTGCAGGAGGCAGCTGTTGATATTTCTCTCTCATAGATGTTTCTGTCTCTCTATCCCTCTCACTTCCTCTCTCTCTAAAATCAATAAAACAAATTTTAAAAAAATTAAAGGAAGAAAACTGAGCATGACCATAGCTTAGATACAACTAAAAGAACAGGCAACCAAATAAACAACATATTAAGAAGGCTTTGTCAGAATAAAAAACTTGTGCTTCAAAAGAAGCCATCAAGAAAGGGAAAAGATGACTCACAGAATGGGAGAAAAATATTTGCAAATGATATATCTGATAAGAGACTTGGATCCAGAATATTTGAAGAACTCTTAGAACTCAACAGTAAAAGACAAATAACCCACTGAGAAAATGAGCAAGGGAATTGAATGGGCAATTTTTAAAAAGACATATACAAATGGCCAGCCATAGGAAAAGATGTTCAACATCATTAGCCATTAGAGAAATGCAAATCAAAACCACAAGACATATCTTCATACCCACAAGGAGGGCCATAATAAAGAAGATGGACGATAACAAAGCCTGGCAAGGATCAGGAGGAATGAGGACTCTCAGACATTGCTGGCAGGAATGCAAAACGGTGCAGCTGCTTTGGAAAATACCTAGTCTGGCAGGTCCTCAGAGTGTTAAACATAGTTACCATCTGACCCAGTTACTCCACGGCTAGGTATCCACCCAAGAAACATGTACAGTTTACGAGTAAACTTTAAGACGTGTGAATTCTAGTTCAGTAAGGCTGCTGTTGGACATAATAGCCAAAGGAAGTATTTGCGATTAACCAGATGAGAAAGAGAATTCCAGGAAACAGGATGTTTCATTTCTCCAAGTGACTCAGGATAGCTGGAGCCGGGATAGGCAGGGGCAGAAGGAAGAAGCAGGAGAAGAAACGTGGGGAGTCAATAAAGACCCAAACAGGCCTCTCAGACAGCGTCAAGAGTGGGGTCAAGAGTGGGGTCCGACCTGGCTCCTCAGCAGAGGTATATGGGCCCCAGGGAAGGCCGCCCCCTGCTCTCCCCTCCCCCCGCTCTTTCCCCCCCCCCCCCCCCGCTCTCCCCTTCCCCCCTCCCCCTCTCCTGCTCCAATCTTGATGTCCAATCAGGGCACTGGCTTCTCATCAACTAGAGTCTTGCTAACCCAAAGCCATGATTTTCTTACCTCATGGGATTTAATAACTTCCTTATCTACAGGGCAGAGCGGCACTGCATTTGATTCTCTGGGGAGGAAAATAAAAATAGAACCAGAATTAAGAGTTGACCTTGACAGCTCTTCAGCACTCCGGCCATGCTTGGGCCCCTGATGTGTCTCACCCGCCCCCCCCCCCCTTACCCCCCAGCAGCCCAGGCCCTGTCTTTACTCATGCTATTCCTTCCCCCAGAAGGCCCCCAGCACCCCACCTCCAGCACCTCTCCAGCCTAAAACACTCCCCTTCATTCCCAGGACACAAGTAATTCAAATAGTGAGTTCCCCAGACAGCGTTCAATGCCCTCTCCATCCCTTTGCTTACCACACTACACCGCCGCCTGTCTGCGTCACTGGGCTGGAACATTCTAGAAGGCAGAGCCCGGGTCCTGTTCCACCCTGAACCTCCAGCTCTCCAACTCTGGACACTAGAGCCTCGTTTAGCAAGGTGCCTGGCACCCACGTTCACTGAATGAACGAGCCCATGAATGAATGAACGGGTGTGTGTTGCAATAACCCCCTTTCTCAGCTGGGCAGGATACAACCTCCTTCCTGACCCTCAATAAGCCCTAACCACCCACTTTTATGTCTCTTCTGGTCTGTTCCCTCAACAGGGCATGAGCCAGGCTTTACAGCCGCCCAGGCGTGAACAGCCCCCATGCCAGCGAGATACTTTGGCTCAGTCGATAGAGCGTTGGCCTGCAGACTACAAGGTCCCACGTTCAATTCCGGTCAGGGGCATGTACCTTGGTTGCAGGCACATCCCCAGTAGGGGGTGTGCAGGAGGCAGCTGATCGATGATTCTCTCTCATCTATATTTCTAACTCTACCCCTCTCTCTTCCTCTCTGTAAAAAAATCAATGAAATATATTAAAAAGAAAAAAAGAAAAAAGAGATTCCTTCTGAATGCAATGCCACCGCTGCCTTAGGCAAGGAAGGGCCAGGTGACTTGGGGAAACACATGCAAAGCAGGCGTGGTCTGCATTTTTAACCAAAGGTGAACACGGGCCAGCCAGTGGCAAAAATGAAGACGGCTCCTAGGGTCTCACAGGAGGAGCCTGGGAAAGCCCTTCCTCAGATTCATGGCTCTGTGGCCGACCACAGCCATCCCACAACCACGATGACAGCTGAGAGGCCACACTTAACATTGAGAGCCCAGGACATCCCCGCCTCCGGTCTGCCTGCTGTGGCCGGAGTTGCCCTGCCCACTCACCTCAGGACCAGGATGCAGTGCTGGCAGAAGCGGTGCCCGCAGCCTGTCTGATGGGGGTTGTGGAGCACCGAGTGGCAGAAGGCACACTTGTACCGCTCTTCCAGCTGCTCCACAAACCGGTACTCAGTGTGGTGCTCGAAGTCCAAGGAAACGGAGCTGCCGGAGTTCTGGCGGATGAATCCACCGGGACTGCCTCCTTGCTCCTCAGGATAAGCCATTCTGGGGGTCAGGGGGACAGAAGGAAAACTGAGCGTGCCCATACTCCATAACTTCAGCCCCAGGAGCTTTAAGTACTGAGCACCACCCACATGGTCACTCGGCTATGACCTTGTGGCCGCAGTGACAGCCTCATGCCACTGGGGGGCTCCTGCAGAGGGTGAGCAGGTGGGAGGCTGGACCAGGGGTCTTCCCGCAGGATTCCAGAAGATTCAGCCCTTTGCCCATCCTCCTTGTCACAGGAACACTAAATTATCCTGTAAGTTTGGCCACACGCTTACACAAAATCTAGTCAGGGTTAACTACATTCTAAGCAAACTCTTGTTATGAATTCTCTTCCACTCAACTGGGAGAATTGAAACAAATGTTTTGTTGACATTTTTTTTTAGAAGCAAGAACCACACACCCCAACCCATTGCTTGCGGTGTACAGTAAGTCCTCACATAATGTCATGGAATGCTTCTCGGAACTGTCGCAAAACAACGGATCACAAAACCAAGTTTACCCTAGAGCAGCTGATATAAACAAGAGTTAAGTTCTTACAGCATCTCATCAACATTATAAAAAAAGTGATGCTGTTATTTAAGGACCTGCTAGCCTATCTAAAAAGAATAATATGCAGATTGACCGTCACTCCAATACACAAGATGGCTGCCCCCACGTGGTCAAAGATGACTGCCCCATGTGGACACAAGATGGCCACCTCTAGGTGGCCAGCAGGCGAGGGCAGTTGGGAGGGACCAGGCCTGCAAGGGAGGGCAGTTGAGAGTGATCAAGCCTGCAGGGGAGGGCAGTTAGGGATGACCAGGCCGGCAGAGGAGAGAAGTTGGAGGCAACTGGGCCTTCAGGGAAGGGTAGTTGAGGGTGGATCCAGGCCTGCAGGGAAGGGCAGTTAGGGGTGACCAGGCCTGCAGGGGAGGATCGTTAGGGGCAAACAGGCTGGCAGGGAGCAGTTAGGCATCAATCAGGCAGGCAAAGGAGTGGTTAGGGAGTGATCAGGCTGGCAGGCAGAAGCGGTTAGGGCCAATCAGGAAGGCAGGCAGGCAAGCAGTTGGGAGCCAGCAGTCCTGGATTATGAGAGGGGTGTCCCAGATTAGAGAGAGTGCAGGCTGGGCTGAGGGACACAACCCCCATGCACGAATTTCGTGCACCGGGACTCCAGTAAGTAGGTAAAACACTACCACCAACCCACATCATTTCTCACCTGAACTGAGTAAGAACGCATTAACTGCTTCCCCTTCCAATCCCTTCTCCATACAAAAGCCAGGGTGATAGTTTCAAAATGCAAGTGTGATTGCCGGTTATCTCGGTTATGGCTCCCCTCCTCATTCAGTGGGTCTCCAGGGAGAAAACCTTCATACTGAGCCCTCCCCACCCGCCAGTATCCTGGGCTTCTGCCTCCTTGCTTTCTACATTCTAGCCACGGGCGTTCTTTTAGCTCTTCTGTTACACCATGCTGTCTCTTGCCACAGGGCCTTTGCACAAGCTCATGCCTCTGTCATGAGTATCTTCTAGGCCCCTTCACTGAGTTAACTCACATTCGTGCTTCAAGTTTCATTTCAAGCTTCATATTCTCAAGCCAGCTTGCTCTTTCCCCCTGGTCTAACAGCAAGAGGCCACTCACCAGACTGGAGAACATGCATGGCCCCCAGGGAGTGGCTCGGGGCTAGGGTGGGTGGGGTGAGGGGGGTGTCACTGTATAATTCTTACAAAAAAATGTTTAACTTGTGTGCATTGCCTATTCAAAAAAACCCAAACATATAAAAACAAAAACTACACATCCACTGTTATATCTGTCATAAAACCAGGTTTCTTTCCTTCATAGCAAGACATGATTTGAAATCTGGCACGTGTGTGTGTGTGTGTGTGTGTGTGTGTGACTTTGATTTGTACCCGTGTTCCTCAATGGCACACAGATGGTGTCTGGTCTTTCTTGCTCATTGTTGCCTCTCCAGCTCTTAGCACTGAGCCAAACTTGGAGAACACCCGAGCTATTTCTTTGAATTGATGTTATTAAAGGAACATTTTGAAAATCCTCAACAGAGCTGCTGTAGTGACTGTTGACCTCTGGCATGGTGATTCTTAACCTTTGAGAAAGAACTTCCCCTTGCCTTCAAACATTCGATAAAAACCCTAGGCCTTCTCCCTGCACAACAGCACACACGCCTGATGTCTGGACCTTGAGGGACCCTCTGCACCCACCCGTGCCCCCCAGACGTACTGTGCCTTCGGCACAGTGCCAGGAGCGGGGCCTGGGGGTGTGCCTGGCAAATGGCTAATGAACGGGAAGCCATCCTAGGTGGTCCCGGGGGGCAATGCACTTCCACAAGCCTGGGGTACAGGAAGGCTTGGCTCCGGCCTGGCGTCCTTTGGCTCGCTCTCGGGACTCCTCGGGAGCTCTTGCAGCTGATGAGGTCAGCGGGGTCCGAGAGCAGCTGTGCAGCCTGATCGGAAGACGGCCCCCATTCCCCGCTCGGCTCTGCTCCAGCCAGCTGCTGGCCTCTCGCACTGCAGAGGGGGCTGAGTCTGGGGTGAGGCCCGGGTGCGGGGAGCAGAGGAAGCAACTGGCCTCTGCCCGCAAATGACACTTTCTCTCCGGAGGAGTCCAACAGGCCTGGGGTCATCATTGTTTTTGCTCCGGGGTTTGAGGCTGAAGCCCTTCCTTTTCTGTCTCTGCGTGTGTTTCCTGCAGAACTCAGAGGGTGGCAGGTGGCACAAGAGGTGATTGTTCCCCTTTTTGCCATGGTTTACTCTTGAGATTGAACATGTTCGTTATGAAGGCCAGCAGGCAGAGCCCTAACAACCAAGACCCACCTTCTTCTCAGAGAAAGTGCAAGACCAGTTCCCAACGGCCCCACTGCCCTGTGCTCTCTAGTTCGAGGGAGACCCACAATTCACCCCCTGTGCCTCTCTCAGAGACCCTCCTGAGAGCAGGCTCGTCTGGGTCACACGGCCTCTACATTAGGACTCAGAGATGCACCTGGCGGCAGCAGCAGGGTGTTTGGCCCCCAGAGAGAGGCAGTGGGGTGCACAAAGCTCAGTTTGGGTCCCTCCCCCGCCACACCCCCCCCCCCCCCCCCCCCCCCCCCCGGACTCTCTCCTCTTTCCTACGGTAAGAATTTAATACACTCGTCTGTACATCTTTCTCCACACAGCAATCCGCCGACATTTGTCTCGGGACCTCCCCCCTTTAGACTTTCAATAATTAAGGAGCCAAAGACCCAGGAAAACCAGCTCAAGAAAAAGAAGTAGGACAAAACTGGAGGATGGACACTGCTTAAATTCAAGACTTTCTACAAAGCCACGATAATCAAGGCGGTGTGCGCTGGTCAAAGAACAGACGAGTAGGTCCATGGAGGATAAGAGAGAGCCCAGAAATAGACCCGTGTAAATATAGTCACCTGATGTCTGCGAGCAGGGGCAATACAATACGCAAAGACAGTCCTTTCACAAACGGTGCTGGAACAACTGCAAGTTCACGGAAAAATGAGTCTAGACACGGACTTTACACCATTCACAAAAATTAACTCAAAATGGATCAAGGACCTACATGTAAAACTATTAAACTCCTAGAAAATAACACCAAAAGAAAACAAACACCTCTAGATAAAACTTGAGTTTGGCAATGACTTCCTAGATACAGCACCAAAAAAAGCACAATCTATGAAATGATTAATAAGTTGGACTTCATTAAAATTAAACATTTCTGCTCTGTGAAAGATACCAAGAAAATGAGAAGATATGCCAGAGAATGGGAGGAAATATTTGCAAAAAATATATAGGATAAAGACATGTTATCCAAAATACACCTTACCAAAGATAAAAGCAAATGCAGGACGCAGCTTTCTCTGAATACCTTACCTGCCTGACAGGTCCTCCAAAGAAAAGGAGCTCAGTTATCATCAGTCTCCTTTCTGAGGGTTTCATCAGCCAGGGAAGACTGACTCATCACAGAAGAAGAAACCAGAAGTTGACAACTCAGACCAACTTTGTTTCAAACTCTCATCTCCCATGTATTCTTTCAAGGGCCCATTCATTTTTCCTAAAAATCATTAGCTCTCCCCCAGAAGGTCTACACACACACACACACATATACCCTTTCCTTATTAAAATGGTGTTCAAGCCGAAACCAGTTTGGCTCAGTGGGTAGAGCGTCAGCCTGCAGACTGAAGGGTCCCGGGTTCGATTCCGGTCAAGGGCATGTACCATGGTTGCGGGCACATCCCCAGGGGAGTGTGCAGGAGGCGGCTGATCAATGTTTCTGGCTCTCTATCTCTCTCTCCCTTCCTCTTTGTAAAAAATCAATAAAATATACTTTAAAAATAAAATTAAAATAAAATAGTTCTTCTTTGGGGGATAATAGCCTATATAACAGGAACAGCAAGAGCTCAGGTTTTGCAAAAAAAAAAAAAAGAAAGGAAAAAAACAACACTATCCTAATTACTAAAAGCGCTTGTTACCTCCTTACTGCCTATCCTGCCACGGATGGAACAGGCCACGTGCTCAGCTGAGGACCACTAGACAACACCCCACGTCATCGTCAGAAACACCTTCGAGGGCTTCTGTGAGACGCAGGTGTGGGGAGAGAGGGAGAGCACAGCCGAGGAGTCCTGAACGCGGGCCACAGCGGGAATTCCAGCGTTTCCCACGGTTCTTATCTTTTTGGGGTGGTACACGGAGAGGACCGGGCAGGGAGTTGAGGGGAGGGGGCTGCCCTAAGGCAGCGGCCAGGAGAGGCCACATCGGTGAGGCCCCGTCCGGAGACTGGCACAGGCATGGATGGAGAGGATGCGGGCGAGACGCAGGGGCAGCGAAGGGCATGGGCCGGAGACCTAGCCCAGGCGGGTGCCTTCGGGACAGCCCAGGGGAGCGGGTGTGTGTGTGTGTGTGAGAGTCGGAGCAGCTGACATCTGAGAGCGCTCCCAGAATAAACCACACGTTTCCCAGGAATGACCTCGTTTCCCTGTGGTCTCCACGGTTACTTTAAATCTGCCCGAGGCACT